TCATCCACAATGGAAGCGCCTCACAGCGCTTCTAGCAAATTATCCGGTGCCCCTGGTTGGACAGGGGTCACCGGCGGAATAGGCACCCCCCTTCTTTTGAAGGAGGTTGCGTGCTGGATTCCGGAGCCGCCTCAGTCTCCAGAATTAAGTCCGGTTAAGGGCCGAACTGAGTACGGCCCTCCCCGCCAGTCTCCATGGGGATCGATTCCCCTTGGTATCCGGTGACAGGGGTTTCGCCTTCCAGCGCCTCCTGAGCCTCTCCCCCGCTGGAAGGAGTCCTTCGGGACAGCACCTCCGCATCGTCCTTGGACCTTGGGGGAGTGTGCGGCTGGCGATGAGTCGCTGGCCATCGCCTTGGAATCCAGCGAGCCTCCTGACGAGGATCGCGGGGAGCTGTCGTGGGCCGGACTACAATAACATAACCAATCATCTCAATACAATGAGGAGAAGAAACTTTATGGGCGGATAAAGTCTTAGTACTTATGATGCGGCACGAGGCTTAGCGCGGGGGCGTCTCTCCGAACTGTCATCAATGTCTCATGCGGAGTTATCCGCAAGGGAGCCTTTCCCCTTCTTGGGCGCCTCCGCCTCCAGAGTTGTGGAGGCCGCCCTCTTCTTCCTCTCCCCATCAGGGGGAGAGTCGCTTTCCTCCGCCTCCTCATCCTCATCGTCTTCGGCGGCGGGGGAACGGGTCTTGTCTTCGGACGTCACGTCCGAAGTGCCCTTGCGGCGGGGACCACTCCGAACTCCTCCGGCCTTGCATGTGGCCTTCTTCTCTGATGCCTTATAAGGCGCCGGCTCCAGCATCTTCGCTACATGCAGGATGACTGGTTCTTCGGGCAAGGGAGCCGAAGACCGGATCTGCTTCGCCTTCTTTAACCAATACTGAAAAAGCAATGATAATGAAAGCTTAGATATCGTCCTTGAAATGAGCAAGTAAGGGATGTGTTGAAAATAACATACCTCATTGGGGAGGTGATTTATGTCGTGACCACGGTCCGAATCGGTGGCCGGCGGTATCTCGTTGCCCTTGAAGAGCAACTTCCAGGCATCTTCATGAGTCGTTTCGAAGAGCGTCGCCAAGGTATGGTGTTTCTTCGGGTTGAAATCCCATAGAGGGCGGCTTCAGCTCTGGCAGGAGAGGATCCTGCGCACCAGCATCACCTGGATTATGTCGACAAGCTTGATATCTCTATTGATCATGCTTAGGATACATGTTTGCAGCGCAATCAGCTCATTCGACGAACACCAGTTTGGGCTCTTCTCGACCCAGGAGGTGAGCCGCACGGGAGCGCCAGAGTTGAATTCGGCAGCCGCGACCCAGGTGGCATCACGAGGTTCGGTGATGTAGAACCATAGCTTCTGCCATTCCTTGACAGACTCCACGAATGTGCCTTTTGGCCAAGAGACATTGGTGAGCTTGCTCACCATGGCGCCCCCGCACTCTGCGTGCTGTCCGTCCACCACCTTGGGCTTCACGTTGAAGGTTTTGAGCCACAACCCGAAGTGGGGGTGAATGCGGAGGAAGGCCTCGCACACAACAATGAACGCCGAGATATTGAGGAAGGAGTTCGGGGATAGATTGTGAAAATCTATCCTGTAGTAGAACATTATCCCGCAGACAAAGGAGTGGAGTGGAAACCCTAGCCCGCGGAGGAAATGGGGGATGGACACTACCCTCTCGTTGGGCTTCGGCGTGGGAATGATTTGTCCTTGGGCTGGAAGACGGTGGGCGATTTCCTTCGCCAGGTACCCGGCCGCCCGAAGCTCAGCGATGTCCTCCTCCTTGACGGAGGAAGCCATCCACTTGCCTTGACCTCCGGATCCGGACATGGCAGAGTGTTTTCTCGAGTAGGAAACGGATGAGAACTTGGGCACTGGAGCTCAAGAGCGAAAAGGCAGAGGAAGAGAGAAGGCGTGGGAATAGAAAGGGGAATCTTATCTCCTTATAAGGGCGATGAATATTGAACGCCATCCCACTCGCCTTAAAATTCGCCTACTCCCAAGGGCCGTCTAAACGGCATGGTTGGGTTACCCATGCCCGTATTGATGAGAAGTAATAAGGGGACACGATCTCTGCTTTTACAAGACGTGCCAATGGCAACCGCGTCTCGAAACGTGGATCGACAGATGAAAAACGGTTTGAAGCTATGACCGGACGGACGTGATGTCATGTTGTAAAAAGTTGTTAGCGGATTGGACTCGTGTATTATTATATTCTCTCTACGGTTGTGTGTGGTGTGTGTTACAAGTCCGGACACGATCAACTCACCCGAAGATTATTTTGGAGTTCGGAAGGAGGAACCCGCCTTGCAATGCCGAAGATAGCACTACGCGCCGGATACCTTGTCATTGAAGCCAGGTTCAGGGGCTACTGAGGGAGTCCTGGACTAAGGGGTCCTCGGGCGTCTGGCCTATTGCCATGGGCCGGACTGATGGGCCGTGAAGATACGAAGACCGAAGACTGCACCCATGTCTGGATGGGGCTCTCCTTGACATGGAAGGCAAGCTTGGCGACGGAATATGTAGATTTCACTCTTTGTAACCGACCTTGTGTAACCCTAGACCCTCCCTGTGTCTACATAAACTGGAGGGCTTAGTCTGGATAGCATATACTCAATACCGTAGTCATACAGGCTAGACTTCTAGGGTTTAGCCATTACGATCTCGTGGTAGATCAACTCTTGTAATACTCATATTCATCAAGATCAATCAAGCAGGAAGTAGGGTATTACCTCCATAGAGAGGGCCCGAACCTGGGTAAACATCGTGTCCCCTGTCTCCTGTTATCATCGACCTTAAATGCACAGTTTGGGACCCCCTACCCGAGATCCGTCGGTTTTGACACCGACAGCGGCGTCCATTTTGCATTGGCGGCGATGATTGGCTGGGCGGTGGGGAAGAAGGGATCGGCAATGCGACAAAGCTAGAGACGACATGGGAAAGCGAGAGGGAGAGCCTTTTTAATTTTAAATATTTTCTGCACTATTTTTCCATCAAATATAGCCTATGACCTGGTTGGTTACCCGCACCTACTTTTAGCACTTTGCATTTGTGGCCCGACTCAGCTAGACCGAGTGAATATAGGTTAAAAACCATGTTTTGCATATAGTTTATTTGTATGCATCCCCTCCAGGTTGACTAAGTATCAACATAGGCACTGGTGTTTGGTTGCTTGCATGTTCTACCCAGATGCAAAGTGACATTGTTTGGTTACATACAACACAAGTGTTGTGGTAACCTCTTCGAGGACAGGTGAGGTTACCAGCACACACACACACACACATACACAACAACATAATAGGCACATCATAAACCATTAGCACAAGATAAAGCATAACCATACTTGGTCATAGCAGTACTAATAAGCAGGTTCATAACAGTACTAACATAACAATACCACAAAGTAATCAAACAAGACTAACAAAGATAACAACCTAAGCACCCTCAACATCCATGTCAAATGCTTGTGGTACACCTCGCACTTAGCCACCACCTCAATGCCCTCGTCGGTGAAGATGATCACTCGCGGGACTCAACAGCATGAAGGGGAGAAGGCATCCGATCATGACCTCGTGAGCTACACAGAATCCAGCCCAACCCTTATCAAGGGTGAGCCTGGCGATCATCTAGCACATGACCTTCCAGGTGCAAATGGTGTTCAACGTCAAACTGAACTCCGTTGGGACATGAGGTGCTTGCTAAAGGCAGGGGCACATGTAGACACTCCAATTTAGGTCCAAAGATGATCTTGCAGAAGTGCGTTGATCTGGCGCTCTCATGGTATGGTCGTATTCCTTAACCCGCCTCGGGGGATTGCCGATCTCCACCACCACCTTGCCCTTTTTGTCTGAGGCAACATCCTTGCCCTTCTAGTCTGAGGCAACCTCCTTGATCTCCTTGTCGTTGCCTCCCATAACGAGCTTCTCAATCTGCATTGAACATACACATATGAACTAGTGATCCAGTCAAAACATACTAAACACATGAACAATATCAAGGACTACTACACAGATGCATTGTTTGACCACACCGTGCTCCACTCTGATGAGGAGGAGGAGCACCAGGAGGTGGAGATGGTGGCGAGGGTCCTCTGCCTGGCTTAGTTGAGACTAGAAGGGTTGGACGCGCTTTGCTGCGTCGTTGGTGTCGTTGGTTTTCTTAAAAAAATTACTCACTCCCTTTCAAAATATAAGTTGTATTATGTTTTTGAAAAGTCAAACCTTTTAAGTTGGATCAAATTTGTAGAGAAATATACCAAAATCCATAATATCAAATTAGTGTGATTAGATTCATCATGAAATGAATTTTCATACTTTCTCTGTTTAATAATATGGATGTTGATATTTTTTGCTCTGAACTTGGTCAAAGTAAAAAAAATTGACTTTCCAAAAAAACTGATACCCCTTAATTCTGAAACTGATGGAATATTTAGTTTGATGGGTGAGGGAGATGATGGAGTGTGTTTTATTTTTATTTATAATACAGTGATTTGATCATGCTTTTATGATGTGGTTCTGTGTTATCCACTAACTAACGTATATTTATGTGGGGAAATTTTAAAGTCGGTGACTGCATGTACTATATTGATGCTACATTATCACATGGTGATGCTTCTTTTTTCTAAGTGGAGGGAGTGTGCGTGGAGTTGATATGTTTTTATAGACCGGCTGCTGCTGATTGATTTGAAAAATTGTTGACCCGGTTAAAATCATAAACCAAATTCAAAATTAAATAGCTCAATTCAAAATTAGGAAACATAAGAAATTAAAAGAATTGAATTGAATGGTAGGGCTCCTTGAGAAATTGTTGACCCGGTTAAAATTGGATGAGCCAATTCTAAACGGCCGATGCTAGGCGTAAGCCGGATGATAACTGCGGGTTATCAGCCGCCTTGGTAATCGTCTGATTATGCACATCGTAGCCGTTCACGGATCGCACTTCCCGTCAACATCTTCCTTCTCGCGCTAACACAGGCACCACCCATGCAGCGCCCACTATCACGCTCCAAGCACACCTACCAGCTCGACTGTCGGAGCTGTGATGGAGCGGGCGTCGACGACGCCGGAGCTGTAATGCAACGACCATTGGAGTTGTGATGCAGCGGGCATCGACGCTACTGGAGCTGCGATGCAGCGCTCATCAACGCCACCGGAGTTGCACTGTAGCGGCTGCGACACCGCCAGAGCTGCTATGCAGCGGTTGTCGATGCCGCTGGAGCGGCTATGCAGCAGGCGTCGATGCCGCCGAAGCTGCGATGCAGCGGCCGCCGGCGTCGTTGGAGCTGCTATGCAGCGGCTGCCGGAGGTAAGATGCAGTGGTCGCGACGTCGCCGGAGCTGCGATGCAGCGGGCGTCGATGCCGACTGTCGTGGACGAGTTGCATCACAGCAAGAGCAGCACCGATCGAGCTCCAACGCAGCGCCGACGCGTCCGGCAAAGCTCCATCGCAGCACCTGTGGAGCTCCAACGCAACACCGACGCGTCCGGTGAAGCTTCATTGCAACTCCGGCGAGGCTTCACTGCAGCGTCGTCTCTGCTTCCGGCGGCCCCGCGTTGCTCCATTTCAACACTGACGGTGCTTCCGAACAGCTTCAAGGCAGTATCGCCAGAGTTGCAGAGCCCTCGTCGGCCAATCTCCATGGATATCATCGCAGCGGCGCGCGCTCCATTGCATCTCCGGGCAGCTCGCCGCATCGAGCCCCCCTTGCACCACGGGTGTCCCCTCTTGCAGCGACCGGCGAGCGGCTGCCCGTCTACAGCCCAACGCCTCCAGCAACAACAGTAGCGACAGAGAAAAGGAGAAGCATGTCGGCGAGGAGCAGCAAGAGAGAGGAACGATGGAGACGAAGGGGTTCTGTAGAAAAGAGATAAGGAATGGGTGGTTTCACGTGCGCCACCGGAGATAAGGATGGGTTGGTCCGCAGGCGGTGGGTGGGCCTCACATACACGTGGCGAGCATAGCGTGCGGCTTAGCGAGCTGTGAAATCAGCCGGTTGAAACGAACACTTTTTCTTAATTCACATGAAGATCGAAGGAATCAAAGAAAGGAAGAAAAGTGCTACTCCGTCGCTGGGGAGGACGCCTCGGGTCACCTTGCCACCGTGGCCTCGTGTTGCGTCGGCCTGATCTGCCGCGCTGAGCCGCCGCCACGCCTTGAACCGCCGCGCCGCGGCTCGGCCGTGCGCCCCGTCTCCACCGGCGTTTCTTCGAGTCGGGCTCGGGGTCGACCTCGCCTCTACCTAGTTGCCACCACGAGAAGCTCCATCCACCGAGGGAAGTTTTGCTGCTGTAGCACTATGCGCCGCTGATCTGCTCAAAAAACAGTGTGTACGGACGGAGACAAAAGCAAGGTTTGACCGGTTCTAAAGTGGCATTAGATGCAACCCACGTGGGATCAAAATAGCATTCGTTGCTATACACGTGAGGGCCATGGCTCGGGTTTTCCAGTGGACTGACGGATACGAGCGGGGTCCGCCGGCTAGACACCTCTGAGACCTGACTGGCGCATAATTTCGATTCCCTATCTGACGAGGAGCATGTCGCTGGTTACCTCGTCAACCGGACATGCAGCAGCTATTATACGCGGATCGTAAATCTTTTAAATAAATCATGTGATATCCATTCAGTTTACTTTTTATCAGTACTTGTTAATTCTTTGTGAAATCAACTACTCTGCCTTATAATGTTGTTATATACAAATAAATTATTCATTACAAAAGTGTTGATATACCGCGGATATGGAGCATGCGTCAGCGTCATTTTTATGGCGTTCGTCTGCCGCCCCCCACAGCTGGGTCACACATACTGCCCGGTCTACATCAATATACGGCTGACTCGTCCGCACCGGTTTACAATGCCGCAGCCGACTCATTTACTGTCGGAACGAGTCCGGTGGTATCCATCTAAAGTTATTTTTGGCGCATATTGTTTTTGTCAAAGAAACAATTACTCTAGTCGGCAATATATATTTTTTGCAGGATAATGATTCATTGTAAAGATGGTGTCATGCCGTATTTATGGAGTATGCGGACGTACATAAGTCGCCGCCTCTGCAGACCCGGTCTACATTAACTCGTCCGCTCGCGCGGGTTACTGCGCCCGCGATTAACTCGCCGATCCGAGCGGATTACCGCGCTTGCGATTACTCGCCCACCCGCACGGCTTACCGCGCCTGCGGTTGACTCTCCTGTCCGCACCAACTTACAACACCGCGGTCGGCTCATTTGTCTGCTCTCACGGCCGACTCGGTCGTGATTGGTTTTAGCATCATCGAGGTGATCATCAATTCCGCGACGGATAATTTTTGGCCTAACATATCAGGTGAAATCTATCTAAGTCTATTTTAGACACATATTGTTTTTTATCAAAAAATAATTACGTTGGTTTGTATATTTTTATATCAGGACAATTATTCACCGCCGAAGTGGAGTTATATTGCGGATATGGAGTGCATAGCATCATCATTTTTCACTAACATTTATCTGTGCTGCCGTGCTCAACGGAAGAGCTTACACTGCCGCCCTTGCGGTCTGGTCTACATCAACACACCGGGCCGCACCTGTCTGCATGAGCCATTTATTGAGTATGAGCAAGTCACTGCTTGGGTAGCCCGATTTTCTTTCAACAAAATGGAGGCAAATTATCATATACTATCAACCGCCGTCTGCACTGGGTGGCTCAATGGGCAGGCGCACAAGTCGCCGCCACTATAGTTTGGTTAACTTCAAATCGCCAGTTGGAAGGAACCATTGGCCGAGTTGCTGACACGGCTCATACGGGATCATTTATAACCCGCCGCAGTCACCTCAACCTTCTATGGATTCACATCGTGCTATCAACACCAATGATATACAACTTATGCCGGTGTATATCACGGTCAAATATGGAGAATCTCAAGCCAACTCCTCGAGTGACCTTGAGACTTGGGGGCTACAATGATATGACTCAGCAAATGTTGCTGGTTTTCAGTGAAGTCAAGAACCCCAGGACGTTGGAGGGAAAGATAAACCGGTCCCGGAGGCTACCGCCATATTGATGAAAATTTAAAGGCCGTCAAAAAATTGTCGGTTCAAAATAAAGATTCCGGTTTAAAATCCGGTTCAAGAGACATCTCTCTCCCACAAGCTTTGAAGCTCTCAAATCCGGTTCAAACATCCGGTTCAAGGTAAATTTGTCTCTTACAAAGCTTTTAAGCTCTCAAATCCGGGTCAAACATGGGTATCCTTCCTTACGGTTTATCTTTTTATGGTCACTTGGGGGCTTCCTGCTCATCGAGCATAGCTGTCGGTACCCTTTTGATTGGCGCGATGCCAAAATTTATATGGTCACTTAGGGGCTTCCTGTTCAAACATAGGTCGTATTCGAACCAAAGAGAACATAGCTGTCGGTACCCTCTTGATCTGCACACTGCCAAACTCACTAGGTGGCTTCTTGATCGTATTCGAATCATAGGTTAACCCTTTTTGGGTCTCACTTGATTGTATTCGAATCAGAGTCGTTAAAAACCTCTCAAGGTCATTTGGGGGCTTCCTGTTCAAAAATAGGTCGTATTCGAACCAAAGAGAACATAGCTGTCGGTACCCTCTTGATCGGCACATTGCCAAAGCCAGTGGGGGCTACATGATCGTATTCGAATCCTAGCTTAGCCCTTTGGAACGGTTTACCGATCGTATTCGAATCAGAAACCTCGGTTTTTATTTGGTTTAAGTTTTTGCAAACAATCTTTGGTTTTGTCTTGAGATTTTTTTGTTCAGATCTAAGTATAAGTATGGTTTCGTTTAAACCGGGCTTGGCTTTGGACGATAAGTCACCAGCATGTGCATCATATATTTGGAAGTATTGGCTTCTAAGGATTGGGTTATCACCCTTACTGCACAGGTATCCTAAACCGGCAGTACGATTCAATATCATAGGAACCGGTTTTCCAAACCGGATTATATTATTCAAATCTTTAATAGCCAACATGGCTGGATTTTTTATGGTTATCAATAACCAATATTATGATTGAGGTTTTCAAAGTCGCTTCAGTGCAATGAATATTATTTTATCAATGGATATAATTTATTCTACAATGGAAGGAATAGTCCTGAGTTGCTGCAGGCTTACGACCCGGCACTTGGGGGCTACATTATTCAAATTGAGATTACATCAAAATATGCAAGTCCCATGTCACTGCCAGCATGCACCATGGCACTTGGGGGCTAATGCAAAGTCATTTTTACTGGCCTTATTGAAGACCCGACTCATCACATTATAATGAGCCAGCCCTTAGGGGCTACCAATTGCTCCTGTCGAAAATTGAAGGTACACAAGTCTTAATCCATTATATTGAAAGATCCACTACTCAGTTGGTAGAATACAAGGCTCTTAACCTTGTGGTCGTGGGTTCAAACCCCATGGTGGAGATTACATCATATGATGTTATTACCAATGAATCATATCCAAAGTCCCAGCTTAGTAATATCTTACTGAGCCGGCCCTTGGGGGCTACACGTTGTTGTTCAAGTTTACATGATCATATTTACAAAGTCCCTGCTCATTATTGCATAATGACCCGGGCCTTGGGGGCTACACTGGTTGAAATTTTTATGAGCATAAGGCAATTACAAGTCCCAGGTTGCTGCAAGCATGACAACCGGATACTTGGGGGCTACAGGTGATATGCATATAAGGGAGGAATAACTACAAATTCTCAGTTTTGAGAAAATCAGGAATTATATTATTATTGGAGAAATCTGCAAAGTTTATGACCCGGCGTCATCATAAGATTAACCTGGTATCAGCAACAATTACATGACCCGGCATCATCTATTTATAACCCGACAGTTTTGGTAATCATAAATTGGCAAGTTTCTACATCTTCAAGCCGACTGAATATCAGGTGAGTATTTCAAAGACCAAAATTTTCTAAGCCAGCGCTTTGGAAGCCGACTCAAGTGGATTATTTCTTACAATATTTTTCTACAAGAGACCAATGTCAGCAAATTGACTCTGAAGCTGGCCTATTAACCCGGACTTTTCAAAAGAAGTATCTGGATTTTTTGCATTGACAAAGTTGAAACATATCTGCCAAAGAAGATTTGCTATGAAATCATGGACATGTACATATCAATAAGGAAATGACAAGGACTTAACGATGATCATGTGCCAGCTCAGAAGAACCTTCGACCCGACGTATAATCTATCAAAGTTGGTCTTGATTTGCAGGATCAATTTAACATGAATAAATCCAAATTAAACTGGGGGCTAATGTCGGGGATATACCCCGCGGTATGACCCGGCCGGAAGTATGACCCGGCCGGTGTCGTGGGTCTAAGACTGACAGTAGAATGGGGGGTAGATATGAGGAGGCAAGATCCTAGCTATGGAGTAGTTGTACACACAAGTTTTACGAGTTCATGCCCTTCTCGGAGGAAGTAACAGCCCTACGTCTCGGTACCCTGAGGCGGTCGACTGGATTATGTGTGTGTGTGTTTACAAAGATGCGAACCCCTATTCCAGAGGAGGGGGTGGCTTATATAGAGTGCACCAAGACCCCTTCTCCCCTCCATTACACAGGGTTCAATGTACATTAAGAGAGGAACGTTACTGGTAATGCTAGCCATTAAATGCTATAAATGACAATTAAGCCTATACGTAAATGCTCGACCGTTGTTGGTGCAGAGTGGCTTTAGATCTTCTGCTCGTCGAGTGGCTTCTGCGACGGTCGAGTGCCATTGATTCTTTCGAGTGGAACGTCTCTGGTCGAGTGGATAATGGTACCCTTTGAATGATTCTGGCTTTAGGGTGATGTCCTAGGGGAAGGTGTCTAAGTTAGGCCTATGACCCTACCCTAGGTACATAACCTCATCATTAGCCCCCGAATGGTTCAGGGTCCGAGTGGAGAAGGAGTTGATAATCTCTGTGATTCAGCTTTTGCGCTTCGGGAATGTCTTGTCCAGAGGTCGAATGAACATTCAAGATGACTTCAACTGCTTGTTCAGTCGCCTTGATCCATTCTTGGTTTTGTTGAGTGAACTTTTATTGTTGAGCTTCGAGTGTTGTTATGGGAAAAAATCTTCCGTCTGATGGGTTGCTCTGCTATCTGCGGATTTCACGGGATTCGAATTTTGGGAAGCGCGCCGGACGGGGGAGGCCACAGTAACCGGGGCGGATTAGGCAGGCCGCCTCGATCTCCGCGCCACCTTTTTCGCCACATATCACGTGCGCGACTGTTGCGGCATTTGATCGGATCATCTGAGCCCATGAGTCAGCCACTCAGAAATGCCCTCATATAAGGCGTTGGACGGGGATTTTTGCACAGTGCGTTCTCATTGTTCCCCTCCCTCCTCTGTTTTCTTCACCGCATCTGCCTCTGCTCTCGGCGTCGCCGCCCTGCTCGAACTCGATCCGCTGCCATGGGGAAGGAGAAGACGATGGCGTTGGAGCGTGCGAAGAAGGTGACGGCGAAGGCGAAAGGGAAGAGGACCAGCCAGGGCGGATCTTCGTCAAGGTCCCGCCTGCCGCCTGGCTGGATCCAGGGTGACTAGATCCGCTCGACAATCAGCCAAGATGACATCGATGACCTGGTTGAGAGGGGACTGATCCCCCACGAATCAGCACGGCTCCCGAGGAATGAGACTGAGCCGCAGCCGCAGGAGGGTGAGTGCGTTCTCCTTGCCACTCATGTCGACCGCGGGTTTTCTTTGCCTCCCCATCCTTTCTTTCGCGGTTTCTTGAACTTCTTTGGGGCTCAACTCCACCACTTTCTCCAAACACCATCATGTACCTTGTCGCTTTCGTGTCCATGTGCGAGAACTTCTTGGGTTGTCGACCACACTGGGGTCTCTTCAAGCACATATTCACGTGTCGCTCTCAGACGGTCAAGAAGGCCAACCCGAGTGACGAGAGGACGCACGTGATACAGATGTGCGGGGGTCTTGGAATTCAGATGAGGAACAAAAGCACTTTCCCAACTATGATCCTTCCCGACTCGGTCCGGGGTTGGCAATCGACCTGGTTCTACTGCAAGGACTAGCCGACTCCGGGCCAGTCGACTGGACTTCCCCCCTTTTCCATGGCTCGAGTGGAGAAGCCCTCCACCTTGAGAGTGATCCTAGAGGAGAAGGTGCATGTGAAGGTGTTGGTCTAGCGGGCTGTCCAACTCGTCCGCGGCGGAGTGACCGGTATGGACCTGCTAGAGGTCTTCCTCAGTCGATGCATCCAACCACTCCAAGCTCGTGACCATCCGATGTGGATGTACTCAGGACTCGAGGATTCCACTAGGATCCACCCGGAGGATGTCAGTGAGGACACGATGGAGCAGTGGCTGAGAGGTATTACTGGCAACAAGGATAACCCTCGGGGGTCCAGGAGGGTGGTTCCATTCGACCATTTGCGCCAGCCGGAACAGGTACGATTCTGCACTGTCGAGTGTCTTCTTGATCTACTATGTAGCATCGTGTTGACGGTCGACTGTCTTTCTTTTGTTCATTATCTTTCAGGCTCTTGTTGATATGTACTCAATGCCTAATGGAGTGCAGGAGCAAAATGTCGAGGGAGAGGCGAGCGGGGGCGAGAGTGGCGAGTGGCACTCGGATGCAGAGGAGGGCGAGGAGAGCGATGACCCGAGTGATGAAGAAGAGGTTGACTCGCCTCCTCACAGAGAAAGGAGGTCCAAGCACGCTCACGACCCGGGAAGCACCCCTGACCTGGTGGCCGCACCAACTTGGCAGTCTTCAAAGCGCCCTCGAACGTCTTCTCCAGTGCTGACCGAGAAGGTATCGAAACAGCCCAAGACTGCGCCGCCTCCAGTGCCGAAACCACCGAAGGCCACATCTTCCAAACCTCCGAAGGCTTTGCCCAAAATCAAAGTGGTCATTCCCACAGTCTCTGGGTAACAATCTAGCCTGATCCTTTGGTTGACTTGGGTAACAGAACGTAACCGTCTGAATGCTGATATTTGCAGTGCCGCCACTTCTGGAACTTCCACCCACCAGTACCGAGATGAGGAGATGGAAGACGCGGTTACCTCCAACCCAGGTACAATTCTCGTGATCTTGTTCTTGATTATTTGGTCGATTAAATTCTGGTGATTCAGTTGGGGTCGAATGATTTCTTTGCAGCCCCACTCAATGTTATCGAGCTTCTGGATGACGATGAAGACGTGATACCGAGGCCCAGAAGGAGCAAGAAAGCAGCAGCTGGCAAGATATCCCAGCCGGAACTGGCGACAAAACCAACAGACCAGTAGCCTGAAGATGCAGGTAGAGCCTCTGTAACTTTTGTTGTCCCAGTGTCGAGTTAATGCCCCGCACCATCGACTGTACCAGTGTTTTCTTCAGTCACCCAACCTCATGCCTCGGAGCCCCAAGCTGCTGCATCTGGACCGTCTGTCCCCTTCTTCACCACCTATCATGTTCCGAAAAGCCAATCGAACGCCGCTGTAGAGGCTATCCGCCAGGCTGGCGTAATGATGGAGCGGATGAAGGCGGTGCAAGACAATAGTCAGGCTGCTTATGATGCCAGCGCGGCTCTTCAAGCCAATGTCCAGGTAAGTTGACTTCCAACTGAACTTGTTCTATTAGGATATGCTACCTGAATATTTTCCTTCGTACAATCTCTTGTTGTCTGCTTCTAATATGTACACCCACTGGGTGTTTTGCTGTCTTTAGTATTTGCACTCTTCCACTCGGTCTGGTTGAATGGGATCTGAATTAGTGAGGGCACGCTAAGTGCACCCACTGGGTGTAGTCCCCGAGGCCGCAGTCGAATGCGGGCAGTCGGTTGGGGTCTGAGCGCTTCTTTCTCTTTCCTTTCTTCCACTCGACCTGGGCGGAGCATGCTGAGTGGGATCTGAACTAGTGGGGGCACGCCAAGTGCACCCATTGGGTGTAGTCCCCGAGACCGCGGTTGGCTGCTGGCAGTCGGCCGGGGTCTGAGTACTTTTTTTACTCGACCTGGGCGGACCGGCCGAGTGGAAACTGAACCAGTGGGGGCATGCCATGTGCACCCACTGGGTGTACTCCCCGAGACCGCAGTCGACTGCTGGCAGTTGGTTGGGGTCTGAGTAAACTTTGAAATTTTATTCACTCAGAAGTAAATAATCTTTGATCTTGTCGATTGATATGTCTTTTACTCTCTGCAGAAATTTTGTACTCTCATTTCCAAGTTCGCTGAATTTGAGGAGAAGGAGAGGCAGCTCAACCTTGACCTGGAACTGGCCCAACAAAACTTGAAGAAGGCTCAAGATGAAGTTGCCGGTATGGAAGGCAACTTCCTGTCGACTGCTCATGTCGATCGTATTTTTAAATTATCTCTTTGATCTTTTGTTTGATCTAAATGCTTATTTTGCAGAGAAAATGAGGTTGGCTCTGGAGAAGAAGGACTTGGACGTTGTAGCTGCGCAAAAGGAGGCTCAAGAGAAGACTACTCTTGCTGACAAAAAGTTGGCTTTAGTCGGAGCGCTGGAAGAGGAAGTAAGCAAGTTGAAGTCCTCTCCCACTGAATCCAACTGAGAGGCGACTCGTCTGAAGAAGGATAAGGTGGCTCTGAACGAGAAGCTGGAATCCATGGCTCATAAGAGAAATGACTTGTAAGTTTATCTGAGAACTCTCACCAAGAAGCTCTTTCTTATGCTCGAAGGTACCCCTTTTAATCTGACTGCTTTACTGCTTGCAAGTTTGTCCTGTCCAGTCGACTCACTAACTCCTAGACTGCAGAATTCTGCCAAAACTTTGATGAGGAGACTGGACGGATCGAGACAGGTTTGGACCCTATCGTTTCTCCAGTCGACGACGAGGCTACCATGAATGTGCTTCGACTGGAATCCCGCATCGCCAGTGTTACAAGTTACCTTGCTCGTCTGAAGGTGGCAGTTTCACGCATCGACTCATCGCTCTGGCCAAGAGCGACGCTTCAAAATGATCTCGAGTCTCTGATGACTCGACTCAACAAGGTCCCCGGTCGAGTGCAGGAATGGAAGAAGTCCTCTGCCCGATGCGGTGCTGACGTGGCTTTGTTGCTGGTAAGAGTCCATTGCAAGGAGGCCCGCGAAGATAAGCTGGCGGCGATCAAGGTCGCCAAAACCAAAAGGCATGACTTCCAGTCCTTCATGAAGACTTTCATTGCTACTGCCACTCGGATCACTGATGGAATTGACTTGAACGAATTCGTCGAGCCTGCGAGCCCTCCTCCTGCCGAATGAACAAACTTGAGATTTAAACTTGCCTTAAATTTGCCTCAGAATGCCGAGTGGTTTCTGTAATCGTTAAACTCTTTCCGGCCAGATGCCCGAGTACTTTTATCTTCGTTTTGAGACTTTTGAGATTTTATCTGATCTTGGTTTATCTTCTGCATATGCTTACGTTTATCTTCGAGTAGAACTTGTTCTTCGCTCGGACTCTCCTTCGAAATGCAACTCTGAAGGGGATATCCCAGTCAACCTGCACCTCTCCGTCCTTGCGGATAAGGATGGAGCACACATTGTATTTGTGGCGCAGCTCCGAGGAGAGGGTTGCGGTCGCACCTCGTCATCCTTGCGGATAGGGATGGACCGGACATTGTACTTGTAGCGTAGCTTCGTGAGGGGATTGCAGTCGACCTGCACCTTGTCATCCTTGCGGATAAGGATGGTTTTGGAACTTAGGCGAGTACTAGACTGCAGCTAAGCCTCCGAGTGTGAGGTTTTCTCATCACTCGGTAGGATTTTTGAAACTTAGGCGAGTACTGGACTGCAGCTAAGCCTCCGAGCATGAAGTTTTCTCATCACTCGATAGGATTTTTGAAACTTAGGCGAGTACTGGACTGCAGCTAAGCCTCCGAGTGTGAGGTTTTCTCATCACTC